AAAGTGTAGGCCCTAGGCGGGGGGGCGGCTAGTAGTAGTAGTAGTAGTAGTGGTAGTGGTAGTAGTAGTAGTGGTGGTAGTAGTAGTAGGCGGCCTCTGCCCCTTACTGGACCCACCTTTTTAGTGCATTCAGGATGGGGAAATTTTGCCGATGCGACAACAACATACTTACAGGACCCACAGTTTTAGTGTTTCTGTGCCCACCTTTTTAATGCATTCAGGATGATCAGCGGGGGTGGGTAATTTCGCGACCCACCTTTTTAGTGTTTCTTGCTGCTGTGTTTGATCCCGCCGCTGCCATGCTCCTGCGTGTGTACACGGACATCCTTAAGGCTATTAAGGCTTCTCCACCGCCACTTACCAAGTCGGAGTATGTTCGCTTTGCGAGCAAGCACGTTGACCCTAAATCCATTTGGCACCAAGCTTACCCTCCAGCTTTAAAGAAAATCCTAGGTGCCAGAGTGGATAGTTTGAACCACAATCGCCCTCAAAAGGAGGGTGGTCCTCAATGCATCAAGTTGTGCAAGCATAAGCTGCCCTCAAAAGGGTCTGCTGGAACTTGCGGCCTGGATGGCCTTTGGACATGGAAGAAGCAATAGGAATCTCTCCATGGGGTGCAAGCAGCGCGTGAAGGAGTTCCAGTGGAAGCACTGGAACCAAGTGAAAAAAAGCCTGGCGCGCTAGACCGCAAAACTCCAGTTCTAACACCCGGAAACCTCATTTCGGTGCCCAGAATTGAGCACCGAAAATGATAATGAGTGACTCCGGCGCGTTCCTGCCGAAATGCCAAATTCCCTACAAGTGCCAGCACTTTCAGCACTTGCACATGTTCAAGCGATGCTGCATTTGGGGTCAGTCCCGTGAGGGGCACCCGCCTACTGCCTAGTAGTAGTAGTAGTAGTAGTAGCAGCAGCAGCAGCAGTAGTAATTGTCGTCGTCGTCGTCGTCGTCGTCGTCGTCGTCGTCGTCGTAGTAGTAGTAGTAGTAGTAGTAGTGGAGTAGTAGAGTAGTAGCAGCAAAAGTGATAGTAGGAATGATGGGCTTCGTTCGAGGTTGATGGCCTTTGCGCTTCACTCGCGTATCGCAAAAAATGAGGTCGACCGCAGCCGAATTGAGGGTCTTGTCCATGAGCTCACAATCCTGTCCAAGGCTGCTAGCTTGTTGGTTACTTACGCACTGTCATTTTAGTGGCAGTAGTAACAATAACAATAACAATAATACTGACAAGAGTAAAACCGTAAAGAATACGAATACTAGTTTAGTAATACTAACCGTCAAAGTAAAAATGGCCCGGGCCTCGCAGAGCCTCTGAAAGCTGGTTCCATCCAACTCTGCTCGTCCTGCCCCGCCTCAGAATCAAATGAGATAGACAATTGAAGCTCGGAAACGTCACAGTCTCACGCCAAGGTGCAGAAGTTGTAGAAGGCCGCCTCCAAGCCATCACTGTCGCTTGGTGCCAGGATAGCTTTCGCTTTCTCGATCTCGCCTCGGAAGCATCCGACCCACAAAGCATGACTTTGGTCTGCAGCAAAAACAGAACATGCTCGCAGTCTGCATCCAAGGGGCGCCCGCCCACCCCACTTTTGACCCAGTTGGCAAACTCATCGAATGAGACGTTGCCATCTCCAGAAGCATCGAGACTCGCACCTGACTGTTGTCGATGTGATTTCCCCATGTGTTACAGCAAATGCAACAGGGACAGCCAACCATCACGTGTCTGGGGAGCATGCCAAGGTTGAGAAAAAACATATGAACATCTACGAGGTTTGTTTCATGTGTTTTGGGGCTCCGGTAGAAAAAGATGGATTTGTCGTTGGAGGGCTGCTCGGTTGTAAGCGGAAGGCTCTGAGCCCCCAGCAGACATTGCGCACCTCCTCGGAGGTTAGGGAGCCCAGGTTCTGCAGAGCCTTCGACAACTCCTGTGGCTAGCAAGCCGCCCCAGTTGAGCGTTAGCCAATGGTGAAGCACCGGCACCGTCCCAGAGGCGGACAGTCTGTTCAGGATGAACCCATATTGTGATAAGAGCAAGAGTAGCAAGAATAATTTGTGTAAGTATCTATTATTTCCTTCCCGTATTAACAAAATCAAGCATGAAGTACAAATTCAGTGGCCTGAAGATCCTGAAGAATGATTCACATGGGAAGACTACTTTCAAATTGGGACCAGATCGACCTAGCCAAATAACTAGTGTCTTGAAGGGGGGCGGAGGGGTTCTGAGATCAGTAGTTGGAGGGGATCAGGGATCGCCTTGTTTATTGTCCGTAGATGAGCGGTCTACAAGAATCTATACCAACGAATCTACAGAAATAATCCTGGCATTGGAGAACTCCTTAGTTTCTTGAATGGAGTTGTTGTCTTGTATTAGGTGTTTGGGGAATGTAGACAAAACATTCTGATGAAAAACAAGCAGAACCAACCTCCTAGAATTTAATCATACCATTCTGTAAGGGAGCTTATGCAAAATTTTCCGAAGGCAAACAGTTTGATTTAATGTCACTGACTTCTGCGGACAGAAAAGGGATTGTGATCCATATCGAAGGGGGCCCTACCTAACTGTCACAAGAAATACGCCATCCTATTAGTCTTTGGTTTGGGAAATTTCATTAAATTGAACGGATTGCTCCAAACATTAAGTCCCCAAAACCGCAATAGTACTACTACTAGTAGTACAGGTATGTAACATTACTACTGCTACTGCTACTACTATTTACTACTGCTACTACTACTCCTCCCACTCCAACTCCTACTATTCTACTACTACGCCGACTACAATTACGACGATTAGGAGGAGGACAAGTAGCTTGTGTACTAATGGCATCAAGAATACGTAATCATAATAATAGCAATACAATCATCATCGCTAGGTGAGTCTCCTGAGGATGTTGGCTAGGCAAGTTGGCCCGACACCAGGAAAGCGGTCCACTCAAGACTCTCCCAGCATCAGTCCTCCATATCCAGAAGCCCCTCGCCATCCGTGTCATACTTCTTGAAAGTCTGCCTCTCCGGTCCAACATATCCTACTCCTGCTTTTCTGTTAGGCAGGTTGCACAAGTCAGACGCGCCTGATGCGCTGCTCCCACCGCAAGCCCGTGTTGGCCAAGATGGCCTGCTTCCAATCCATCCACGAACCATTGAGAGGCCCTCCTGGGGCACCGAAGGATCCTATCTCCCCAAACCAACATGTATCCCCAAACAGCCCCACTTTGGAAAGAAGGGTGGTCTTTGTAGTGCCCTTGTGGGGGTTCCATGCTAGTCCGAGTGAGGGTCATGTTTCGCGACCTTCTTCACATTGATGGCCCGCTCGCCTCCCTTCGCAAGCCACGCCTCAGCAGGAAGTCACCCCTCACTGCACAGAGTCCTAGAGTCTAGGAGCCTACATGATCAGAAGAGTGGTCCGTTTAAAGGAATCATGGGGGATATGTAGAATTTGGCGTTTAGAGAAATATGGGGCCTGAATCATTGTAAAAAAATGCTGCATGAAATGGAAGCTGGGGCTTTGTACAAGATTGCACTGCAGGTGCAAACGACAGAATGGCTTTGGGATATGTTCTACTGCAGCTGCGTAGGGACTGTAAGGAGAAAATTTTGAATGGGCATGCTTTTCTTTTGCGCGGTTGCTACACTTCCTGAGGTGGATGGAGGAAATCTTGCTCAACATTGCTCCAGTTGATGTCCACAAGGTAGCGGAATTATCATTCTTGGGCCTACATGGGTGGTGCAGGATTCCCTCCATGCACAGTAGGAAGACACGAATGCGGCACTCACTGCTGGCTGAGTCGCCATGAACTCCGGTCTTGAGACCCTCTTGTCACCACCTGGGTAGTGCTTCTTTGATGGCTGAACCAGGTAAGATGATATTCCGTTTGCAACGAACTATACTAACTATGACCCAAGGAGGAGATAATCTCACCCTTTTTTGGGACTGACGTATCCACAGCGTTCACGTGGATGCTGCAGGTTGGTAGCTGGGCGCCCTGCCGGTATCCAACTCGTCCAAAAGATCCTTGATCTCCCGGATATTGAATGATGGGCTTAGCACGCGGAAGACCCGTGACATCCTCAGTTGCTGCACCGTTTCAGAAAGGCCAACTCCTAAGCCATGTCCCGCGCCCCCGCACTGCTGAACTGCCACATTTATTGTAAAATGCTCGCACTGGGCTGTTTGAAGATGCCCAGACACTCTTCGAGATCCAAGTTCCCGTTGTTGTCCTACCGCCAAGCTTAAACCCTGTTTCCATGGGCGCGGGCATCCAGATAGCGTGAGGGGCCTGCTTAAGTAGAAGAGCGTATTGTGGGGTACATTGCACATGATTGTAATTAGCTGGGATTTTAGGGAAGCAGTAGTACGGCTGATTGAAGCTTCATATTACATGCGAAGGCGCTTTGGCTGATTCCAAGTCTTGAGTCTGATCACAAACATCAAATCAAATGCTGCGCAGGACCTTGTCAAATCGACGGAAGACCTGCAACGAACAAAGACGTGCCAGTGTTCCCAGGCAGCAACATGAGCAGACTCACATTTCAGAAATCGTTGACATCCCTACTGCATCGGGCTTTGCACGTGTTCTTCTTCATCTACAACGACGAAAATGACAGCTCCCGCCGTTACTGCTACTGCTACTGCTACTGCTACTGCTACTGCTGCTGCTGCTGCTGCTGCTGCTACTACTACTACTACTACTACTACTACTCGTACTGGTGCTAATGACCCTGATACGATGAAACTATGGGATGAGGACGATGCATCCCACTCGAAAATTGGATTAAACATGTTCAAGGCTTTTGGGCAACATGAGGTGCGTAAAGCCTCCCGAAGTCTGGCAGAAACCGACGAGCCCGTCTCAGCAATGATGATCCTTCCTTTGAACAGCACAGCTCGAACTGTCTGGGCATGAATATCCCTAATCTAGACCACCCCAAAGAATTCTTGATTGTTCATACGCGGACCATAATTGTGACAACCCCCCAGGGGGCCCCAAATCAAAGCATTCAACTCTCCCAGAAATGCCGATAACTACATAAACCCAATTTCCATTTAATTTCATGTCACATCTGCTTCACCATGGGATTCTCCATTATGAGTTATGAAAGTATTGTCGCGAAACCATGTTTAATCCCCTCATTGCCCTACGTGATCCCTGAACAACCCACCCAAATTCACAGGCATTGGCAGTCTATCACCAGCTTGGCCAAGCTACGGAGCTCCTCCGAAGCCTGGCTGCCTGTCTTAAGCCAGTCCATAAACTCCTCCAGCTGCCAGGTAATGACGGTAGAACACTTTTGTTTAAAACATCGTGGAGATATGTTATACCCGAGTTGTATAGGGACTGGAACGAAAGAATATTGGTATTCAGGCCTGCTAAACTGCCAGGTGACTGCGGACAGGGAATGAAGTCCTTGTGCGAGATCAGCCCATCAGAATTGCCTGACCTATGCAGGTACTGACCTGTGCCACAACTGACACACCGGACATATAGCCTAAGATCAAGACCCGTCCAGCCACTTGCAGTAGTAGGCGACCTATGACAACTACACAGGAGGCAAGTGCAACCACAAGGACCACAAAGAGTGCAACCTCCATCTGCGAGAAGTGGGGGTTCAAGGTGTGGAGCACCTCACAAACTGCAGACCGTCAAGAAGGAGAGCTGTCCCCTTCGAACGAGCGAAGCACGTCTCTCAGCTCCACCATGTCCAGCTGCCCGCTGCCGTCCTTCCCCGTTCAGCTGTTGACCAGGGGCAGCCCAGAAAGTTGCCAGCAAGTCCTTGTCAAACATCATGAACACCTGCCAAGTGCAAGGCACGCCTGAGGTGTCATGTACTGGGTTGTTTATTAGACTACCCAAAAAAGATTGCTCACAGCTTGACTGCTATGCTGTTGTCAAAAGATCTAGCATTCAGAGCCGGCGCTAACTTGCAGTACCTCTCATACGAGATTCCACAACAGTGCACACGCAGGAGAGAATCGCCTCTCGAATCCGAGAATCCATGTCATCGAGGCTGATTGGGATGGATTCCTGCAACTGCCACATCTTCCCTCCACACCCGGAGAAGCTTACCACAGACAGGCCTCCTTGAGGCGTGACAGGTAGCGCGGCCGCCGGCGCGACCTGCCACCCATGGAAGCCAAGAGAAAAAACGCACCACGCTCACCTGAGATGAGGCTTGTACTTGAAGATCTTTCAGTCCTGCCAAGCCGAGCCCTCAAGTCCCAGACTCAACTCCGTGCCCGAAAGAAAGCCGTTGTAGGCATGAGATGTTCGTTAAACTTGGTTGAAGGCATAAGGACATCGTGAACATTCCATGCTAGAGCATACTAAAACCTTGGCAGCTTCGATTCCGAAGCTACGGCAGGTTGGCCTCCTGCCCCTGCTCGATGATCGACTCTCGGAGCAGCCTCGCGAAGAAGGCCTGCAAGAGTCACATCACCAAAGCGCAGGATCCTGATCCAGCATGTCGTTCTGAAGTGCTGCCTCATCCGCCACTCCGCTGACATCAGGCATTCAGGCTAGACTTGCCGGCATCGCATGGCCCCACGTGTGGGGCAAAACCAAAGGAAAGGCTTTCGCTTACCAAGAAAGCTTGAAAAACTCAAATCTTAAGGGCATGCCGCTTTGGATTTCGGGTATTGAATTATTTGTTGCTGAGGTTGAAACGACTTGGGGTTCATATCTTGTCCACTGTTCGGCTCTGGAGATACACCAAGCAGCTGCAGGCGCAACGACAATTTGCTGTCCTGCTTCATTCTACATGACAGGCTAACGACGACACAACATGCGAAGCACGTGCAAGATTGAGACCTTGTCAATAACAATAGCAATCATTCTGATGAGAATAAGGATTCCCCGCACAAATTCTGAAGACCCGACTTATCGGACTCCCCTTACTAGCGACTTGTGGAAACATTGGGGCATGTCCAGAAGCAAGGGCCCCCTGTAGTTACAAAATCGTACATGCGCAGAAAGACTGCAGGGACCCCCAATTCTTGGAACACCCCCCTCCCCCGGCTGCTTCATGTTAACTCGCAGCCGCTTGCCCTCGAGCTCTTGAACTCTGCCGGGGCGACTCCGAGCAACATCGGCTTTGCCTGGTCAGAAGGTTTCAACCTAGGCAGGTTTGAAGCACGAGTGCCCTTCATAAGGATAGCTATAGGACACTAGGTGATGCTACCTGCTCATGACTTGAATTTCTCCGGAGGTCAGAAAGCGAAAAGCCTGCGGAGACCCAGGCTTGGGAGCCAACAGGCACCAGTGACCTGCGAAGCATGTTGCTCTTTGCGCAGCCCCTACGACTCACCTGTCCCACCTTCTTGCTCCAGCACACCCATAGCTTCAGAAGTTTGAGCTTTGCTGTTGGTACTGTCACTGTCCATTGTGGAACGTTCTGCAAGCTCTGCATGCTTTCCGCTTACAGCTGGTGGGCTGCGGGGCTATACAGACCTAATGCGGCACCGAAAATTGGTCACGCACAAGCTTGAGAACGGTCGGCACCGCCCTGATCATACCAGGACTCCGAGCGCAGATCAGCATGCAAACTTCATGGCAAGGTTGGACTCAAGGACCGAGCATTTTCTTGTTCCGAAGCTGTGCATCTCAGCCACCCTCAAGATCCTGCTCAACGTCCTCCAACTTCTTCAGTGCCTGGCAGCCAGCTTCTCAAGAAGACAGGCTCGGGATTGCTAAGCTTCCCTGACACAGGCGGCGCTTCTCCATACCTATATAAGGAGTTTGCCCTAAAATCCTACTAGGGGTCCCAGTATCACTGAAAATGGGCCTAGACCATTTCAGAAATATACTTTTAAGAAAATGTATTGGGCTCTTTCAAAACCAGCCTGGCCTGTAGGGCAGGTCCACTGTAGACCTCCTCCACGTGCATCTCAGCTTCCACCGGATGAACACCAACTTTTGATTGATAAGCAGTGTGACTATATGGTAGATATATATATATACACGCAAATATTCCTTTTAGCTTTAACAACTTGAAATCAGAAGCTCTATCCAACAATGACCCGGAAAGGTCCAAAATACTCCACATACAGTACTCCTGAAAAACAAAATTCCCAACTACATGATAAGGCGGGAATATGGATGCTTCAGCCAAGCGCACCTCTGGCGACGCTTGCCACTGAGGACTCTACTCCAGGCTTTCCTTTCTGAATGGTAAAGGACTGGTGCATTGCAGCCTGCCACAAGCTTGCATTACCACAGCGGGAAGATACCCCTTTCAGTGCGAAATACTGCTGCCATTAGTGGGGATTATGTAGGGCCCACCAATGACTGGCAGCAGCTGATCTGCCTTGGTGTCTTCGATCGACTCCCGCACCTTTTCCAATGCCTGCAATCGCGACAGCTGACTTTGGCATGACATGCGTGGCGCTGAGGCATGAGCATTATTCATGTCTCTCCTTCCGCAGCCTGTAGGAAGGCGTCGCACAAGACTACTTCCCAGACGAATGCTGCGTCGGCTGAAGAGAGGCAGTGCGTTTGTAAGGGTGCCACAACGCGCGAAGTCGCTCTGCTCCGGGACGCAGCCATCAAGCTTTACAAGATCCTGCAGCTTGAATGCAAATGCACTGGCGCGCCAGCGACAACTGCAATGCCTCTTTGCATCCTATACCCCCAAGCGCAATCCCTTTCTCCACGAAAGACGTGTTGCGCAAGGCAGACGCAGAACCACTGCACAAGGGCACACTTGCAACTGCGGAGCTAAATTTCCAACTGCAATTCTGTGGCAGTGGCGGTGAGTTAGCTGCACTTGCGCGCACGGTGGAGGCTTTCCAACAGCGGGAGGAACCAACCTGGGAACAACCTCATTAACATCATCATAGGTTTGGAAGGAAAGTGTTCCAAGCAGGGGGTCGGTCTTTCAATGGTTATTCCTTCGCTTCCTCTTCAATGTTTGCAACGCCTGCTGATGGCCGCGGATTCTAATAGATAGCCATGCAACAGCAGCAAGGTATTCGGAGTCATCGTGCAGGAGCATGGCCAAAAGGCAACAGAGAAAGTTGCGTCCAAATACCCAAGCCAAACTGAACGTGCCTGTGCCATCACGCAGGAAGCTTTCTCCTCCTATCTAGAATTACATGTGTACAGATCGATGGAATGTGTTGTCTGCAGTCACGGACCATCATCAGGCTCTAGGAACGATTGGGGGTTCGTTTGCAACCTAGGCTTAACACAAGATGCTGCCTACATGCCTACACCGTGCGCTGCAAGCTGCCTCCCCCTTGGAAGGCCAATGAAGGCTGCATCAGGGCACTGAGCCATGAGGAGCTTAAGTGAGGGTCTCTCAAAAAAAGGAGGCTCTTAGACACTTTGGGATGTGTAAGGGTGATAAATGGATTATTGGGCTTATTCTGAGAGACCACCATGTCAACATGGTCAACCTGCCAAGACTGTCATGGCAAGGTCTAGCCGTTGCACTGGAAGCTGCGAGGACCCATCCTCCTCAGGATGGCTCACCCAAGGAATTCAGTCGGAAGGGACTGCAAAATAATGGAAAAGCTGCGTCATCAGCAAGACTTCATAGCCTTTCTTGCAAATTACCACGCACTCAGAACACCATACATCATGAGGTCACAGCTCTAGTGACTCTAGTGCTTGCTGATGGCGGAAATGCAGCCAGAATCAAAATTGTCGGAATGCACTCGACAGTGCGCATGCAAGCGCCAGGAAAAGGCAAGAGTCGTGAATCGTATCATAGCTGCCTTGATGTGGCTTCATGACTGGTTCCCAAACACACCAGGATGGTCACGACTCTTGCCTGGCAATGGAAGGTCGTGTATTAAGCCACATCCCCCAGGCTGGGGGAAGGGGGAAAACGCAGCAAAAGCGCGACCACCATCAAGATGGGCACATCGCGCGGTTGGCTGAGCGAGGCTCTTGGTGCAGTGTCAGCAGGGAATGCAACCGAAATGACCGTGTCTTTGGCACCGAGCGTCACCGTGGAAAAACCTATGATCACCACGGGTGATTACGAAGTCAAAGTGGTCAAAATGTCCTTGGGGCCATCAGAGAGTAAACAGGTTGGTGGGAAGACATTCATGCTTTCGCTGTCCAGATCAAGAGGACCTGCGCGGCTAATGCAAAAATCCTGTGATGATTCGCCCAGGCATCCCGGCTCCCACACTCACGTGCACTCCAAGCCACAGTGGCTCGTACTATGGCGGCATCGCTTCGCAATTGCGCAATAACCTTAGCTACTTACCAAAAGCCAGAAAGACTTGATCATGACCTGGACACTTGTTTCCGGCCAGCGGTTCCGGCTTTGCAAGACATCCACGCAGATTGGGCAAGGGAATTTTGCCTCGGCTCGGCAGATGCCACCGCACGCGATGCCACGCCACCCTCTGTTTTCACATGTTCTGCGACTTTCCTCGAAAACTTCTTTTGGCCTCACGCATTTGTGCGGATGCTAGTACAGCGGAACAGGCAGAGCTTGGTGAAAGGAGGTTCTTCGCATCTTGGCACGTGCAGTCTAGGCAGCATCAAGAAGTATTCACGGCATTGCTTGCAAAGCCGGATCTCCTCCTCAATGTTGTCACCATGAGGTGATCATAGGAGCTATCGGCAAAATCCAGAGTAGAGGTTGAATTCTGATGTAGCAAGTAGCCCTTCGTTTTGCAAGGCTTTTCATTGAAGCGTGGCGGCTTCGTGCACAGGCTACCCCTTCCGTGTGCACTATTTTAGCACTAGATCGCCCGAAGGCCCCTGCCTGAGGTGCTGAATGTTTGCTTGTCGCTCATGTCGGATGCTGCGTTTGAGTCTGTGCGCGTTGGGGATTCAGAGCAAACGAGCCTCTTGATCAGGCAAACAGGGTTTCGTCGCAACTGGGGACAGAATCCTTCAACCTGAGAGTCTCTGAATGGGTACTATGCCGGTCCTTCTAAGCTGCTCCAATTATCGGTTTTTGAGATGGATGCGCACAGGAACCAGCACACACCTGGTTGATCCTCTCTGCTTGCTTTACGCATATTGCCTGAATCTCTGAATCTATGCAGACAGAGCCACGCCATCGTGTGAGCCGAACATGTTGTTGCAGCCCACAGCGATTTCCAATGCCGTCCGGCCACGTGAAGTCCTCCTGGGTGAAAGCACCATGGTGCCGGATCAAGAAGATTCACTGGAGCCGGCCACATTTCCCAGATTTTAGGGAGCTGTCGCTAGTAGCAGCTCGCAAATTGCCAGGGCTCTGTCGTGCATCAGCACGTGCTAACAGCATCGATCGCAAAAGCTCGAGATTGCCTTCGGCTGCAGCTACATGGACCGGATATTGTACCTCCTGCAGGACAGGACAAGGTCCTCTGCTTCTCGGCGCTCCAAGCCTATCTCTGCACACCTACAAATTCAAGAGCCGGCAGATCGCATGCAGCGAATTGCTCCTTTCTCGTCCAGAATCTGCAGCCTTGTTGGTGAGGCTCTGTTACGTCCTGGACACCAGCAGATTCTGCTGACAACATGCTTATGTTAGGAGCTAAAACACCAATGATTACAATCGCATCCTCGGAGAAGCCTTTTTCGCGAAGCCATTTCGAAAGGAGGGCCTTGCAGACGTGCGCTTGCAGCTTTAAAACCATGCTATATTACGCTGCATCCCATTAGATTCGATTATGCTTCTCCAATCTATGATTTGCTTTCTTATTTATTGCGCTTCTGCCCCCGCCTGCTGCTGTTTTGGACGTCTTCTTCTGGGCGGCCCCACCTTTGTTGCTCAAGACTTTTTAAAGCAGAGTGTCACCAAGTGCTCTTCAGGAACGGAACTTCAAGGTTCCTCGCAACCTTACTGGATGGGGTCTAGACAATGTGAATCCTTCCTTACCCTTACCCGCTGCCTCCGCCTATGTTTTCATTACAGGTGGGAGTTTCTCAAGATTCGGGCCTCAAGGGACCCGAGGAATGCTTGGCGCCCTTAGGAATCTACAGAGGCTGTTTTCAAAAACTCCCGGACAAGCGTCTGTGGAATTGTCAAACACAACTGCACCCAGTTGAGGCTCTCCCTTCAAGGCGCAAACTCTGAAGTTTAGACTGCAGGGGACCATGACACCAAGGGTCCCTTTCGATTGTCTGCTCTGCGCGCACGTCTGATGACTTTGAACGCGCCTTGAGGATATGACTCATGCATTTGCAATAGAGTCTCCTAAAAGTAAGGGTGTGCATCCTTGTAGACGTGTTGGCATTTTCGGTCTTATTTGCAAGGTTCCCCTCTCAGCGCTTCGGTACCTAGTCAGCAACGCCTTCGCACTTGTTCCGCAGGAGTTGGAAGTGCGTTGTTGTGGTGACTGCCGTCCTCATCGTTGCGGGACCCTCAGGGTAGATGTTGGGCTCCATGTCTTTTTGGTTGGGTATAAGGGCTCACGGCTTGCCGCCTAAGATTTTGTTGACTCTTTTTCCCGGCGGTACTGAGTCTTTGCTTTCTGTAGGTTAACCTTTGAGGTGTGCAGGCGAAGCCTTGCTCGAGTTGTGGAGGTCCTGCGAGTCGTTTGGGGATGCACTTCGCTTGAACAGGCTTGAGCGGGCGCACGTTCTCTACATCTGAAGCTGCTCCCGGGAAGTAGGTAGAAATTGCCTCCTAGCCCTCAACCCTGAATCCAAATACCGTCCTCCAAAATAACATCAGACCATCTCGAACCCCATCTCATCCGCTTCTGGAGGGGCAGCCAACCAGCCAGCTTTGAGGCTCCAACCCTGTTAGGATCTGGAAGCTCGCCATCGCTATCCGAAGTTGTCTGATGCCAGAGTCGAGGTGTACTCACAAGCCTCAGCGAGCGAAGCTGCCTGACCTCTTCCCCTAAACCCAGATCCAGGAGCTAAGGCCTCACTGAGCGAGAGGAAGTAGGCCTCTGACGTCGCATCCTTCTGCATGGGATGACCATCATCACGTGGCTCTTCCAGAATCTGGCTTGGAAGATGAGGAAGGATGCCGTCCATCATGGGATCGAAAGGATGCCAACTCTACAGACTCTACAGCCTTCAGGCACTTCAGGTTGCTGCGGATGCACGACTCACACAAAAATTTCGGCATATTCCAGAACTGAGGGTTGAAGCTGCTGCCACTGCTGTCCTGGTGTAGCTCCCGCGAGGCTTCTCCCAAAGCCTCGAGGAACACCGAGAACCTGCATGAGCTTAAACTTGGAAGAACACAACGGTGTGCGCTCTGTTTGCTGCAACAGCGCAGCCCCCGTCGTGGCATCCCAGTTGAGCGTCAGTCCCATCAGACGGCACAGGACACTTGGCGGGCAAGTTCGAGACCGTGTGAGTTGTGGAGATTCCTTGCTAGGAGCATTTCCCCATAGAGTCACGCAATGTCACATTCTACACAGCGCCGTGTCAGTTCATGCGCTGTACACGAAGCTTGCGTTTCCCTTATTGAACACGGTAACTTACCTTGGTGTGCCTGAGTAGACTGCCATATGGATGCTGAAAAAGGCTGGCCAGCTGGTAAGCTGCTGCTTTCAGGCAGTAGAAACTCAAACATGCCATCTGCCTGGAGCCACTCATTTCTGCAGCATTGCAGAGCATGATCTTTCAGCAAATCTGGGCTGATTGATATGGTCTGAGCCTTCGCAAAGCAATGCTCATCCGACACATGTTTTGAAAAGCTTGAAAACGTGCCTCCTGAATAGTGCCTTCTGCCTCTGACCGGATTCTCCGAAGGTCGAAAGGTAGGGCGGCCCCAAACTTGCTGGCAGAAACATTTCATGAGCCACAAAATCTGAAATGCCTCTCGAGGTCATAAGCCGTAAAGGTTGGAGCGTAGAATGTCCTGTACACACTCTGTACACATACATGCTCCGCTGTTGCACAAATTCGTTTCTCACATTGTGTATATAAATCTGAGCCCTGACTGCAATAGAAGCGTGCAACGGTGGAGTCCGTACACAGCGCAGTGGCCTTGCCCAGGCGCTTCACGCCAAAGGATGCAAGGCCCCTTCGCTACACTTGACACGTAAAATGCAATAATGCAATAAGGCAAGGCACAACAGCTTGAGCTGCTGGCAAATTTGGACCGGCACGAGTACAGCAGGTCTGCCTACCCCGATTGAACACTTTGGATGGAGAAATTCTGGAACCACCTTATATGCCCACAAACCATTCGCGGGAGCAAGCCCTCGCTCACTGAAGCTATCCGGCATCAAGGCGAAATGACGGCGCGGAATGGGAGTTCTGCAGGGTCAGAGGGTCGGCGAGCTTCAGATTCTGAACACTGCTGCTCAGTAGGAAATGGGGAAATGGATACCTAAAGTAGTCCTAGTAGTCCATATGTAATCCCCTAGCAGAATCCCCAGGGCCCGTTCTCCCATTGTCTACTAAGAGCCCCCAAAACTGGCCCAAAAGGACATAGCGTTTACTCATCACCCTAAAAAACTAACTCCTAAACATTCTTGAAGTTTTCACGTTGTTTTCAAATAGCCCCATACCTAATTAAGCACCATTGGTAAACTTGCGCCTGGAGGCCCGTTCCCTTCGGCGGTGCGAGGATCCGTCGCCTCCGCGGGGCCTCGCTTGGTCTGGATACTGGATTGGTACGTCTCGCTTTCAGGCTTTGTGGGCTAGGTGACGTAGGTATGTTGCGAAACACGTGCTACCTATGCGAGTAGTTGTAACAAACTATACGACATTGTCTGGCTACAACTTCAGCTACCTACTGGGTAGCTCCGGAGTCTCCAGTGCCAACTCTCACAGCCTGCATGACACGCACAGGCGAGAGGTCCAGGTCAGCACGAAGCCAGGCACACATCGGTGATCCTGCAGCCAATAGAATCGGTCAATGCACTGCAGCATGCCAGGAGGTCCTTGCGCAGCCGGCTGCGGAGGATAGCACGCCTCAGCTTTTTTGGGGAAGGCAAAGCCTCGAGCGCATCTGCCAACAGATGGCCTCCTTGCGCGTGGGCGAAGCCGCTTCTGGCTGCGTAATGCCAAAGAATTCCGCAGACTCACGTCGGTGGTGAGCCTCCCAGACTCAGCAGCTGTCGTGGCTTTTCAAAGCTTCGATTGTGTCATGTCTGGACTTGCAGAAGTCACGCTTCTGACTGATCGATTCTTGTGATTCGAATTCAGGTCATCCTCTGAACTACAGTGCCTGGGCTTCCTGTACGTCTCTGTCCCTCTGCTGCTGCGCCTGCAGCGTTCACTCGGGTTGCACATATGACACAGAAACAGGCATATGCAACTTTCCAAACATGAGGAGCTCCCCTTCTGCACCCCATAACAGTATATAGTCAGGTATTTAGCGGGGCCCCGGAAAGAGGCTCCCAATTCCTGGAAACCCATATAGGTTGCACTTGGGCCTGCTTCTCTGCCTGAAGCTTTGCCTGGCCGGATGTCACTGCTTTGAAAGGTCAGGACCTCTGCCGAACTACCTCGTAGGCTACACTTATGAAGATTTGCCGCCTGTTAATTCTATGAAAATGAGAAATAATAAAAATGAAAAAAAAATGAAAAATAAAATCAAAAACAAAATCAAAAACAAAATCAATAAAATCAAATACATAATGAAATAAAAACGAAAAGAAAATCAAATAAGAATGAAATACAAGCAGAAAATAAAAAATGAGAACATAGGGAATTGCATCAATTTGAACCCATTTGAAAGAAAAAATAGAAGAAAACAAATAAACCTACAACAACAAAGCCTTGGGAAGATTATGTTCAATTAAAAGCGGTCCTCATTTCAGAATTTCCATCTGTATTCGATCAATACATTTATAATGGTCATGCGTGAGAGAAGCTCCAATTTGTCCGGTCTTAGTTCGCAGGTTTTTAACAAGATCAAATTTTGCAATGGGCGTTGAGAAAATGGCGATGGATTTAAACAATGCCTGTGTCGCTTTTCGGAGGATAAATGGTGCGAAGGACTCAAGTTTCCAAGCAGTTTCAGTTCAATTGTATTTTCACCGATTCCGGAACAAGCGCTTGTGGGTCCAGAACTGTTTTTGATTTTATCTTTAATTATCTGGAAAATGTAAAATGAGCTTTTCCTTGTAATGCAATTACGTATTCATCAGACACGCTTAAACTCAAATCTAAAGCAGTAAGTACTTTTAGTAGAACCGGTTTTCAATGATTTTCGGTACACCGAAATCTGGTTTTGGTATCCGACATATGTTTTTTTAGAAAAAAAACTGTTTCATTTTACAATCTGCAAAACGATAATATTTTTTAATTTGTTTTCATTTTGTTTTCGAACCAACAAATCCGGTTTTGCCGTACCCAAAACCGGTTTTCTGAAAACCGGTTTTGGGTATGCAAAACCGGTTTTCAAAAGACCGGCTTACCAATGTATAATAAATTGATTCTATTCAGCAATTGTTAGGCCAGAATGTAAAACATATTTGATATTTGTATATTTTTGTTACATTCAAAACCATTTTAAATAGGTTTCTAGAAATTGGTTTTAGATAAGTAAAGCCGGTTTTTGATACTCAAAACCGGTTTTCCAGAAACCGGTTTTTGGTACCCAACACCGGTTTCCTAAAAGCCGATTTTGGTTTTCCATTTGCAAAATACTATATATATATATATATGTTTTGGATATGTTTTGGATATTGCGTGAACTACTAACATTGTATACTAAAGTATTATCAGGTTATACTATTAATACAGAAAACCGGTTGTACTTTTTTTATTTCCAAATAACTATGATTATTTTATTGTTATTTATTTTTCATAAATAAAAACCTTATAATGCGATTTGTTTTTAACAAATCCGGTTTTGGGTATCCAAAGCCGGTTTTCAGAAAATCGGTTTCACTTTTCTATTTGCAAATTTGGTTTTCAAGAAAACTGTTGTTGGATACTCAAAGCCGGTTCCACTTTTCTATTTGCAGTTTAATCAATAGGTTCAAATGTTTTTTGTTGTTTACAGGAAATAAAATCGTGTTTTTCAAATGAAAGGCAACACGATTGTCTTGTTAATAAATACATGCACGTGTGATGAACGACTTGCAAACTACATGGCAACAAGCTTAGTCAATCGTTTTGTGAAATCAGCAATGAGACATGAAGCACATGTGAGTAAGGAAGCAATCAATGTTTATGGATGGAGATGCAGCACTAAGCATAACCCTGAGCCACTGCCAGCGGATCCATCAGACAGAACCAGAAGCGTGGTTGCGAACGTAGTTTGCAGCCACCATTTTCTGCAATATGACTTGGCTTATGTGCTTTCTGGCTGGCTGACAGCAGAAACCTTGGCTTAGAGAGACCCATATTGTTCCAAAACACATACCCATGAGCCACTGCCAGGGGAGCCATCAGACAGAACAAAAAGCGTGGTTGCGAACGCTGTTCGCAACCACCATTTCCTGCAATACGACTAGTCTTATGTGCCTTCTGGCTGGCTGACAGCAGGAACCTTGGCTTAAAGAGAGCCATATTGAATCATATTGCTCCAAAGAGTGGTTGCAAGCAGCGTTCGCAACCACGCTTTTCACTCTGTCTGATCCATGTTTTGCGAGTGGCTCATGGAGAGCTCCTTTCATTTCTGGAACCTTGCAGCGCGCCATCTATGTCTCAGCCTCACTTGCTGGAGTCGTTGTCTGAACACCGCTGCACAGATTGACCTGCTCCTATAAGCTGTCGACCGGTCAAAAAATACTGCAAACAAAAATCATTTTTCACCTCCGACAGGAATCTCCCCAACCGCTCTTGCTCAAGTCGTTGTCTGAGTAGTGTGGCACACCTTGACTTGCACCTACTGAAGCTGTCCACCGGCCAAACAAGAAGCTGCATGCAAAAGTGTCATTCCAACGTGGGCCAACACGTCCTGACCATTAGCTTCCCTGAACATGTTTGACCGGCGACAGGAGTCTCCCCAACCGCTCTTGCTCAAGTCGTTGTCTGAGCAGCGCGGCACACACTGACTTGCGCCCCCTCAAAACGTCCACCAGCCAAACATAGAGCTGCATGCAAAAATGTCATTCCAACATGAGCCAACACGTCCTGGACATTGGCTGATTAGCTTGCCTGAACATGTTTGACCGGGGACATGCCGGAGTCTCCCCAAGCCCTCTTGCTCAAGTACTTGTCTGAGCAGTGGGGTACAGATTACTGATTGCTGCGTTTTTACACCCTACTCTGATCAAGCTGCCTGAACATCATTCACTGCCGAAAGCAGCGCCCACACAGCCACTGCAATGGTTGGTACATGCATGGAATTGCCAACCAACTTTCTTGCAAAGGTGGACTTGTGCTCAGCCAGTTGATACAAAGCTTTGATCTTCTCCGACGAGGCCACCCTCACACTTGTAGCACTACTGCGTACGTCCTATGGGCAATTCCTCAGTTCCCCATACTTACTTCCTACCATGAACCACCCTGATACTAGTACCATGTCCTACAAGCACTTCCTCCCTACCATGCTACTACCATGTCTTATGGGCTTTCTCAGTGCCCGGTACCTATTTACCTATGGACCTATTTCCTACCGATCTACGAACCCTGTGACCCTTTGAGGCATGGCAGGGACCAGCGCGCAGGCCCAGGTTAGGGTTTAAGGGTTTAGGGGTTAGGTTAGGGTTAAGGCTTATTGTAGTTTAGGGTTTGGGGCAGGGCTAGGGTTTAGGGGTTCTAGATCTTAGGGGTTAAGGTTTAGGGCCGGGGTTTAGGTGTTAAGTTTTAGGGCAGTTTAGGGTTTAGGGTTTAGGGCAGGATTAGGGCTTACGGGTTTTAGGGGTTTAGGGTTTAGAGATGTAGGGGTCAAGAAATAAGGATTTAGGGATTTAGGGGTGTAGGGGTTAAGGTTTAAGCTTAGGGTAGTTTAGGGCCTAGGGCAGGGTTTAAGGTTTAGGGTACCGGGTACCGTCGGTCTTGGAGCTGCCCATCCCCTCCTTCCCACCAAATCCCTTCCACTACCCCCCCACCCCCTCCCCAACAAACATGATAGCTGCATGGAACTCTGAAGAATCATGGTTTTAATCACCTTGCGAACTAATGCCGGAAAATCCAGAGCTTCTCTCACTCATGAATATTATACTATATGATTATCTACTATGAATCAATTACAGATGAAATTAATGAAATGAACAATGCGCATTTCATGGGTTTTCCGCTTTGTCTGAAATCTATACTATACTTCATGTGTCATGTCATCTGCTTTTCATTTGTTTTTGGTTTGTTTTTGATTTTGTTGTTGATGTGTTTTTGATTTTTTTGATTTTTTTTGGATTTTTTGGTTGCCTTTTTTTTGTGTTTGATTTTGTTTTTGATTCATTTTTGATTTTTTTTGATTTTTTTTGATTTTTTATTATTTTGTCATATTCATAGTGTTAACAGGACGGCAACTTTACAAGGCTACACCCAATCCCAGCCAGGTAGGCACAATGTGAAATCGGAACCATCAATAAACTATAGACTGCATCATTAGGTTGTGGGGCTTCGGCTTTGTCTTCCACCCCGCCATGCCTGATTTTATGTTGATTTCTTTGATGTCGCACCTGACGTTCGCGCCGGAGCATGGCATCCCTGTAGAGCCGGACCCACACCTCCAAGGACTTACTGGCTCGTACTGGTTCTTCAGGGGAAAGGGTGAGTGAAAAAACAATTGAAACTACATGAAACTACTATATGGCTTCGGGTGTAAGGGGAGCGGGGGAAGAAGCATAGGCACCATTGGTAGTTCTACAGGTTCCACTGAGATCCCTTCAAGCAGCAGAATGGGAGCACAGGCCATGGGGCATCTGAGGCAGATGTACGAGCAGGTGCAAGTGCCTGATGGAAAAATATCAACAGTCTGCGCAGGTATTGATGATGCCATCACATACCATCTCTTTTGCAAAAACCCAAGGCTCAAGACATACCGTGGAGCAGCCAGGCGGTACAGTTCCGGTTCTCCATTCCTTGCCCCCCCCCCCTCATCCGAACCTGCTCCGTGGAAATCACAACCTCCTCGCAAATGCCAGCCTCGGTCTGAAACTCACTTCAGGAGCTGCTGACTTGAGTGCTTGTCCATGAAGAAGGGGCTATACGCATATATACATAATGTATATATACATATGTATATATACATATCAGATCTACACCTATATCCTAATGTACTGTAACCCTTTTTAAGAGATACTTCCCAACGGTGGCCCTGAACTTTGAAGAAGCCTCCACTTCAAAGCAGGCCTTCTTCATCAGTCTCTCAACCATAGCCTGGGAGCCAGAGTCCTGCGGCAAAGGACTTGCTGGTGCTTAGGAGGGACTGGATCCCAACCATCATCCGCATATGTATTAATAATTCAATGCCTTCTCCAACTTAAGCACCACGTTGAAAGGGGAGCCGTTGGTCTCTCCTTGCTGTGCTGCATCATCTCCTGCAGTTTCGTCTGCATCTCCTTGCCAGCTTTGAGCTTTGTCCCAGGGTGTCATGTACATGCATAGGCCCCACATTTTTTGGATCAGTTTGGGGGGTGCGATGCCGCGATGCCTTCATGGCCTGCTGCTGGCGCGATAAGGTCTCCTCAAAGCCGAGCTTCTCTGCCTGCCGAGGAGGAGAAGAAAAATGATTAAAATAGAAATGAAAAACTTAAACCTCCAGAGCCGCTGCTCGCTGCTTGGAAGCTCGGTTTTCCTGATGATTGAAGCCAAAGCTTTAGCTTCCTCTTCTGCTTTGGGACGACTCGGACTTACCGTGGCCTCGCGGAGTCGCTCCAGCTCCTCCCGATCGGCTTGCGCCTGCGTGGAAGCCTCCCAGAAGCAAACAGATTCGAAAAGCCATGGCAGCACATCGCGCTGAAGCGGAGACGCTCAACCAAGGTCTTTGGGCCTCGCGAAGCTCAGCCAGCTCTTTCTGGTGGTCGCCGCACCGCGCATGCACCTGACACCCCGCTCGTAAGCATCTCTAACTTATCTAGGCTGCCACAAATTGAAACTTATTGTTCCTTGCATCTCCTTGCAATGGGCCGCTGGCCTCTTGCAGCTTCTGGAACTGCCGGCGCTCCTCCTGAAGGCCACTTTAATCGGGTCGGAGTGCCAAGGTGAAGTGGCTTCGGAGCCATAAAAACATGCACTTACAACCTGCAAAGCACTCACAGAGCTGGAAGTGAGTTCTCAGGTGGGTCCTGAGATTGCAGCTGCTCCTGAGGCAGCAGACACTCGAGGCTTCTTCGGTCTGCTGGAGAATGTGCACACAAAAACAACTGATCTGAGCAATGCGCTTCTCGGAGAGACTGGATCTCTCGACGCATCTCCTGCGAAGGATGGTTTCATTGAATCGCTACTCAAACCTACCGTGGCACGGCATCATCAACCACAAAGTGCCTGCGAGAGCCTCTCCACCTGACGGAAATGCATGTCTGGTTGGATGCCGAAAGCAAGCAGAACGTGTAGACGGCTCCCGCTTCGAAACAGCTACTCTGACAACCACCAGATTCTGGCAGTCGCAACCAAACTCATCGCAGTTCAGAACTCATCTCAAGTTGGAGTTCCAACTAGAGTATCTTTCCAAGTGATAACCAGATTGCGTGGTGCCGCGAAGGGACCGTTACAGCGACGGGCAGCTCTCACACAGCCGCTGTTCTCGAGAGACATCAAGAGATAGCGATCCTATTATGACTTGGCTAGCTTGCCGAATGCTTAAGACAGACCCACAAACGGGGGAAAAAGTAGTTTGGGGAAATGAGATTCGGGATGCCAAAAGTTGTTTTGGGAAATGAGATTCGGAGTGCCAAAACTTGTTCTGGAGAATGAGCTTTGAAACATGAGACTTATGAGATTTGGCCTGCCATAAGGGCCATAAGTTGGCCAGCTCACCTGGGAAAAAGTAGTTTTGGAAAATGATATTCGGGGCGCCGAAAACAGTTCACTGAAACGCCAGATACCGGTTCACACGCGCGAGTCCAGACATTCAAGCTAGCTGATCCCATCGCAAATGTGTTGTAAGTAGCGGCCGCTGACTGCAAGCGCCCTACTGCGAAAGTGGTTTCAGCAGACGCGCTTCCCAAAACAAAAGCTCACCCACTGCAAAGATGTTTCGGGCACTGTGATTTAGGGCCTTTCGGGCTGTCATAACGGCCGCGCGATGAGCAAGGTCCACGCACGCTTTAAGGTTTGAAGGCCACTAGGCGGCGACCAGAAGTCCGAACTCTTCCGCAATCTGCCCCTATACTGCTACTGCCAGCACACACGAATGCTCAAGGCTGAAAGTCCAAACACCTCCGGACTTTTCCGAACTTTTCCGAACTCTCCCAAACTCTTCCGAACTTTTCCAAGCTTTTCCGGGCTCTTCCGAACTTTTCTGGGCTCTTCCGAACTCTCCCGAACTCCTCCGAACTTCTCCGAACTCTGAACTTTCCGAACTTTTCCGAACTCTCCCGAACTCTTCCGAACTCCCCCAAAACCTTTCCGAAACCTTCCAAACTCTTCCGAACTCTTCCGAGCGCTTCAATCCCGAACCCTTCCAAACACTTCCGAACGCTTCCGAACTCTTCCGAACTCTTCAGAAATTTCTTCCGAACTCTGCCAAAGCCTTCTACTGCTGCTACTACGTGCTATAGACCTCGTACTAGTACTAGTACAGGCACCACCATCACTACAGTAGTAATGGTGGTGGTAGTAGTAGCAGTAGTAGTAGTAGTAGTAATAGTAATAGTAATAGTAATAGTAATAGTAATAGTAATAGTAATAGTAATAGTAATAACAATAATGAAAATAATAATGGTAATAGTAATAGTAAGAGTAATAGTAATAGTGATAATAATAGTAATAGTAATGGTAATAGTACTAGTAGTAGCAGTATAGTAGTAGCAGTATAGCAGTAGCAGCAGAGCGCGGAAGAGTCCGGAAGAGTTCGGAAGAGTTTGGAAGAGTTCGGAAAAGCTTGGAAGAGTTCGGAAGAGTTCGGAGAAGTTCGGAGGAGTTCGGGAGAGTTCGGGAGAGTTCGGAAGAGCCCGGAAAAGTTCGGAAGAGTTCGGAAGAGTTCGGAAGAGCCCGGAAAAGCTTGGAAGAGTTCGGAAGAGTTCGGGAGAGTTCGGAAAAGTTCGGAA